AACTATATATATATTCCAGCAAGACGTGGCGGGCGAGAATTAGAGGGTGCCTTGGGCCGGCCTGACACGGAGCGAGGGACCTTAAGGAGCACACGGCCCTCCGCGAGGACCCCGCCGTGACACAAGGAAATTAAGCCTGGGAGAATTAGGTTCTATCCCTGCTTTGCCCCACAGATCTATGCAACGCTGGGTAAGGGAATTAAATCAAACCTTCCTCAAGAGATTACCAATTCTGTATTCTTCATACTCTGGGTACCCAACTTGAGGCTCTAGGATCTCATTTCTAGAAGTGCTAAGCTACAAATGGAATGATGTGTTTGAACATATAGACCGTGTCCCCATGAGTGGGAACATGTGTTTTTCCAGGAACAGGTAGTAGCAGCGCACCTTGTGCCACTGCTACTTGTGCCTGGGAAATGCCTGTGCCATGCACGCTCTGGCATGCTCTGGGTGGGGTAGGGTAGGGTAGGCTGGGGCTAGCAACTGTGCTGGCCCCACATTCCTTACCTGAGGTCATGGGGGCCTCAGGGAGCTGCAGCCACGGTGCTCCTGCAGCACGGAGCCTGGCTGGCAGCTAGAGCATGACTCCAGCCAGCCAGGCCCCAGTTTTGGGCGGTGTGCACTGCCACCACGTGCACAACCCCGCTTTTTTTTTTTTTTGGTGTGGCTTTTTTTTTACCCCAGGATCTCCCAGGGTCAAGAAAACCCCCTGCACTGCAACGTAGTAGCACGAGGAATGCTTGCATGTGTAGTGTGCGGTGCTGCAGACAGGTCTGTGGCACCACATACCGCACATGCACACTCATCTGGATATGGCCATACAGTGCTTTATAATGCCATATAACATCGCTCAATAAATGATCACTGTATATTCTGTGCAGGGAATGAGGCAAAATTTCTACAAGAATAATAGTATATGATCAACTAATTAAAGAGTGCATTATGCCTATGCACAAAAAGGCTGGAGCAAAGTTCTACAAGCAGTCTCAACTTGGGCATTTCCTACCTGCTGAGTGCTGAACTCTGCAACCTCAATAGTGCTCTTTAAACATGGCTTCTTCCTGTGTACACAGTGTGCATGTTGCTTTTATGTGCATACGAATGGCTTTTTTATTGCAAACTATTTATGTTATATACTAGCAAGCTCAATTACATTGATTATCTGATCACATAAATTAAGTAGTAAAGATAATTTCATCTATCATCAGCATGGTTTTATTTCTGGCATCACATTAAATAGTTAATCTTTAAAAAGATTAAAATCAAAAGCCTTTTAGAATTCAAGACAGAGCTTAAACTGCTATAAAGATCTTCTTAATTAGGATTAAAATCAGTTAGCCAGTATTCTGTGTATTATATCTGGGTAGTGTTGTATTTTGCCTAGGTAAAAAAAATAAAAATAAAATCATCAACTGTGATGATGCTGAGGCACAAATAGCGCAAGACTAGGATATCACCTGTGACTTACTGTACTAGATGCTGATGGAAGAGCCTTTAATCTTTAGCTTTTGAAATCCAATCAGACAACCCCAAACTTTTAAATATCTTTTAATTATACGCTCCCATTCCTAATATACAGTACAAACTACTGCTAGCAGGAAAATGTCACAAAAACTCTGTTTTTTATGGCTATTGCAAACTTGAAAAACATTTTGATTAGGACACCTCACTGTAGTAAATAAGAATATTACACAAGAAGGTTATTGTGATTTTGACCATCTGAGGTTATGGATCTTAGAAAAACTTTTAGGAAAAAAGCCAAGACATCCTCAGGCAAATCCCATTCTAGACTCCACAGTTACAGAGACTCTCACCTATGGGAGATTTTGCAGGGTTGTGCAGGCTTATATCCTCAACAGGAAAGAGATAACAGCTTGGTGCAGAGATGATGCATGGCAGCATGCATGGAGCAAGTATTGTTGGGGCCAGGGTAGATTAGGAAACCAACACCTGCAAATATCTTTTCATGCTTTTACCATTATATGCACTGCAGAGCTTACTCCAACAACTTGGCTGGAGAAGACTCCATGAGAGACTCCATGGCCTCAACCTGCTATTCTAAGCTAGGCAACGGCCCTGGGTTTTATCCCTCTGTGATTACCACACAATCCAGAGCACATCATTTGCTATTAGCTCCTTAATACTTCCAACGTTATCCGTATTCTTACTTTTAAATGATTTTGTTTGATTGGATATTTTTTACACAATGAGTGTATCTACACATTTAATTAGTGCAGCACAATAAACTTTGGCACAGTTTGCACCAGAGTTAACATCTCCTGGGTGTAGTGTCTACATGTGTGCCCAGGACTACAGCAGTTCGAGCCAGGGCTAGCAGCAGGCTTGGGGGGTCAGCCCTGGGCATCAGGCAGTGGAGGGGCTGGCTTAGGCACAAAAGTGCCCAAAGAGCGGAGCTGTGTGGCTAGATGGCAGGCAGGGGCCTGGCCCCCTGCTGCCTGGGCCTAATTTACTCCCAGGTTAGCATTTACATGTGCATCTAGGCACAGTTATTTTCACCGCTGTAACAAAGTACTGACCCAAGAGTATTATCATACGGCTGAGTTAATTAGGTCACTGCAGCCTAATACCATCTCACATATAGACTGTGATACTACCTAAAGCAAATTACTCTACTGTGCAGTTAAGCGCACGTGTAGATGCATCCAATGATTCCCAACTCACTGACAAGGGTTAATATTTCACTTTATATTGGAACATTTTTTTAAGAGGTGCCTTATACTTGCTCATCTTTCCCGTAAGACACTCAACCACTGCTTTGTAAAACTAGGAAATCTTGTTGTAGAATAATATCAATTAGTATCAAACAATGAGGATAATGAAATACTTCTTCTATCTGTACCAGAACAACCAGAGGTATTTTCCTCAAGCAAATGGATAGCTCTTGTTTCCATTATATTTTAGCAATTCCAAAGTAGGTTAAATTTGAACTGTAAACAACTAATTATTGATTCTCTTTAAAATGCATTAAGTTATATAAAGTTCCTCTTCCCCTCCTCACAATGTATCATAGATTTCATAGACATTAGGGCTGGAAGGGACCTCGGAAGATCATCGAGTCCAACCCCCCTCCCAAAGGGCAGGAAGTCAGCTGGGGTCATAGGATCCCAGCAAAGTAAGCGTCCAATTTACTCTTGAAGGTGTTCAATGTAGGTGCTTGAACCACCTCCGGTGGCAGGCTGTTCCAGACTTTGGGGGCTCGGACAGTAAAGAAATTCTTCCTTATATCCAGCCTGAAACGGTCTTGCAGTAGTTTATAACCGTTCAACCTCATTATCCCTCGGGGCGCTCTGGTAAACAAATGTTCCCCCAGATCCTGGTGGATCATGTTTATCCCCCTGATAAACATATAGGTGGCCATCAGATCACTCCTGAGCCTGCGCTTTTCCAGGCTAAAGAGCCCCAGGGCTCTCAGCCTGTCATCGTAGGGTCTGCTTCCCTGACCTCTGATCATGCACGTGGCTCTTCTCTGGACTCTCTCAAGCTTCTCCACATACTTTTTGAATTGTGGAGCCCAAAACTGGACGCAGTACTCCAGCTGTGGCCTCACCAAGGCCGAGTACAAGGGGAGAATGACGTCCCGGAATTTGCTTGAGAAGCATCTATGGATGCAAGCCAGCGTTTTGGTCATTTTACTAGCTGCAGCATTGCACTGCAGGCTCATGTTCATCTTGTGGTCAATGATGACCCCCATGTCTCTTTCTTCCATAGCGTTAGCCAGTGTAGCACTGCCGAGCCTATAAGGATGCTGCAGGTTTTTCCTCCCAAGGTGGAGAAGCTTGCATTTTTCAGTGTTAAACACCATCAGGTTCTCGTCCGCCCATTTGCTGAGCTTGTCCAGGTCAGCCTGGATCACCCCCCTGGATCAACATGATCTTAAACTAAAATAACTCATCCCTCCATTGTAACAAACTATGGATGAAATCCTGCGAACATCTGTGCCCATAAGTAACATTGCTCATGTAAGCAGACTCACTGAGGTATTCCAGAACAGGCTCTATAAGAAACTACAGTGTAATATCACTGCACCCGAGTCAACTAACTGCTTGCTTTGATATATGGTAATGCTTTATCAAGTTTGTCAGATGCTTTATATATTCCCATGTTAGTCTGATATTACTGCCCAACTAGGAAAAGCATTTAAGGAAACATCCATCAAGAGACTCAATTTTGTTCCATCACATGATTACTTTACTTACTCCTGTCTTTTCATCAAAGATTTTGATTCCTCCAAAGGAGACGGTTAGAAAGATTTTCTGTTTATGTTCTCCTTTTGAACGAGCGGCAGCAACAATTCCCTGTAGAGACAAAAATTGTTGTGTTGGTTTCATCATTTTTTTAGTTTTGCTTTCTGGTAAGTATACCATGAAATGGGCTTTGGTAGCAAAGCTGAACACAGACTCTTCATTATTCTGTGAAGGCACAATTTAAAGACTGATCCAGGGACATTGCCACTCTTTTTTACTTATTTTCCTCATGCTCCTCAGCCCATGTCAACTGAACTCTCTGTAGAAAGCCCTACCCAGTTCTCTGAGCTGGTTAATACTCCCTACAATTTGTTATTATTTGAGCTAATAATGGTAACCCATGATTTCTAGCAAGCATTTTCCCTCTTCAAGTTTTTTTTTCTGCTTATTTTTTTTAAAACAAAAGGAAAAAGACCCCAAACCTCCCCCCTAATGCTCTCCTTTATGAAGTAGAACAATCTTGAACGAGCAAACCGAGCATTCATTGCTGAAAATCTCCCTTGCCAATGTGCTGACTGAAAAAAATGGGATGGTTGCTTTCATAAGCTTACCCTATAACTGGAGTCTGCCACATAGAGGGTGCATTTGCTGCCTGTGTATTCTGCATACTACTACCATTGAGAAATGACCAGGGTCCACGTAGCAATTTCTCCTTAAAGTTCTACTTCTAACACTTACCAGTGCTACCAGACTGAGGGGGAGAGGAGACTGAGGGGGGATGGCCAGACTGAGGGGGGACAGGAATCCAGGAGAGCCAGCTGTACTTCAAAGGAGCCTTACTGGGAGTGCAGGAACAAACCATCCCAGTGCTCAGGAAGACTAGCAAGTATAGCAGAAAACCAGCTTGGCTTAGCAGCGAACTCTTCAGTAAACTAAATCACAAAAGGGAAGCATATAAGAAGTGGAAACGTGGACAATTAACTAGGGAAGAATATAAGAGCATTGCTCGGGCATGCAGGGATGAAGTCAGGAAGGCCAAAGCGCAATTGGAGTTGCAGCGAGCAAGGGATGTGAAGGGTAACAAGAAGGGTTTCTACAAGTATGTTGGTAGCAAGAGGAGAGTGGGGGAGAGTGTGGGTCCCTTACTGAATGGGGGAGGCAACTCTGAGACACAGGATACAGAAAAGGCTGAAGTGCTCAATGCCTTTTTTTGCCTCAGTCTTCACAGGCAAGGTCAGCTCCCAGACTACTGCACCAGGCAGCACAGTTTGGGGAGGAGATGAGCAGCCAACAGGGGTGAAAGAACAGATTAGGGTCTACTTAGAAAAGCTGAATGTGTACAAGTCCTTGGGGTCGGATGGGAAGCACCAAAGGGTGCTGAAGGAGTTGGATGATATGACTGCACAGCCATTGGCCATCAACTTTGAAAACTCATGATGATCAGGAGAGGTCCCAGATGATTGGAAAAGGGCAAACATAGTGCCTGTATTTAAGAAAGGGATGAAGGAGGATCCAGGGAATTACAGACCAGCGAGCCTCACCTCAGTCCTTGGAAAAATCATGGAGCAGATCCTCAAGAAATCCATTTCTAAACACTTGGAGGGGAACAACGTGATTAGGAACAGTCAGCATGGATTCACCAAGGGCAAGTCATGGCTGACCAACCTGATTGCCTTCTATGATGAGGTGACTGGCTCTGTGGATGTGGGGAGACTGGTGGATGTGGTATACTTTGATTTCAGAAGGCTTTTGATACAATCTCCCACAAGATTCTCACAGGCAAGCTAAGGAAGTCTAGGCTGGATGAATGGACTGTAAGGGAGACAGAAAACTGGCTAAAGCATTGGCCTCAGAGTGTAATAATCAATGGCTTGATGTCTAGTTGACAGCTAGTATCAAGTGGAGTTCTCCACATGTCGATCCCGGGGCCAGTTTTATTCGATGTCTTCATCAACAACCTGGAAGATGGCATAGCGTGCACTCTCAGCATGTCTTCAAATGACACCAAGCTGGGGGGAATAGTAGCAGACAACTGGAGGGCAGGGCTAGGATTCAGAGTGACTTAGACAAATTGGAGGATTAGGCCAAAAGGAATCTCTTGAGCTTCAACAAGGACAAGGGCAAAGTCCTGCACTTAGGACAGAAAAATCCCATGCACCAATACAGGCTGGGGGCTGACTGGCTGGGCAGCAGCTCTGCAGAAAAGGGCCCGGAGGTTACAGTGGACAATAAGCTGAATATGAGCCAGCAGTGTGCCCTTGTTGCCAAGAAGGCTAATGACATACTGGGCTGCACTGGTGTAGGAGTGTTGCCAGTAGGTCAAAGGAAGTGATTATTCCCCTCTATTCAGCACTGGTGAGGCCACATCTGGAGTCCTGTGTTCAGTTTTGGGCTCCCCGCTACAAAAAGAAGGTGGACAAATTGGAGAGAGTTCAGCAGAGGGCAACAAAAATGGTGAGGGGACTGGGGCACACGACTTACGAGGAAAGACTGAGGGAACTGGACTTGTTTAGTCTAGAGAAGAGATGACTGAGAGGGGATTTAATAGCAGCTTTCAACTACCTGAAGGGAGGTTCAAAAGACGATGGAGCTAGACTGTCCTCAGTGGCGGCAGATGACAGAACAAGGAGCAATGGTCTCAAGTTGCAGCAAGGGAAGTTTAGGTTAGATATTAGGAAGAATTTTCTTACTAGGAGAGTAGTAAAACACTGCAACAGTTTACCCAGAGAGGTGGTGGAAGCTCCATCCTAGGAAGTTTTCAAATCCCAGCTAGACACAGCTTTGACTGGGATGATGTAGTTGGTAATGGTCCTGCTTTGAGCAGGGGGTTGGACTAGATGACCTCCTGAGGTCCCTTGCAACACTAACTTCCTATGATTCCATGATTCAGACTAATTTAGTGTCATGAAAAGAAGCCAGGACTCCACCACTCTTACCCTTGGAGAATGCCCTCAACACTAGGCATGCTTTCTCTTGCTTGCTCACCCACTGATATCATGAATCTTGCATTCCTTGCTGCACAGTAGCACAGCTCCATTAGAAGGCGTGAAGTGTGTCCACAGTCTAAATGTAACCTTGATCCTGGTGGAACAGGATAGTCATATGGGAGGTGATAGATGAGGGTCTATAAACCCAGCTTCCCACTTCCTGAGCAAGTCTTCAAAATACTAGATCAGTGATTTTCAACCTTTTTAAAGGAGTGTAACTCTTCTGGTAGGTATCCCTTCTGAAGCATACCCCCTTCCAGACTGGGAGGGAGGGAGGGGGACAGCCGGCTGGATGCAAAGTCAGCAGTGCATGGCGGTGCGAGGAAGCAGCAGTGCAGAGTGGGGAATGGCAATAGCAGGGGGCAGGAAAGCAGCATGCGGCAGTGGTGCTGAGTGGTGAATGGCAGCAGTGGGGGGTGGGGAGCTCACACATGGCTGTCAGCACCATTCACCACTCTGTGCAGCTGCTACATCCCTGCACCACCATGCATACTCTCTGGGGCTGTCCCAAGTACCCCCAGTTGACAACCTCTGTACTAGATTATTGTATACAGATTATATACAGGATAAGCAATCTTTTTTCCCCACCTAGTGCAAGTATTTTCTATGACACCCAAAGCATATTTAGCAGATTGGACCCTTCAGAAGACTTCAGTATTGGTGTGCCTGCTTTGTGAACCCCAAATAGACGTTGGCAGAGATAGGTGCCAAGATGTCCTGCTCAGCCAAGACAGCAGACGTTCTGGACATGTGTAATAGCAGGATGCAAGGTACTTACAGACTCTTATAGTTGGCAGGGTTCTTGTGGATCACTCAGGCACCTAACTTCTACCCAACGTGCTCTTTAATGATTTTTTTGAGATCTGGTCACTGTTTGCTGCTTCAAAATGCTTTGCAAACATTAGCCAATTGATAATAGTCACACCAGTAAGTATTTGTATCCCCATTTTACATATAGGAAAGTGGGACACAGAAAGTTTAAGTGACTTATCCAATGCCATACAGCAAATTAATGCCAGAACCAGTGTTAACATTCAGGAGTTGCTAATTCCCAAGTTCCCCACAGATCATAAGAACAAGCTGCCTCTAATGGAACTTGACCAAAATGTGGAAGGTAACATTTCAACAGAAGGACATGAATATTAAAATGAAGAGGAATTATTTCCTCACAGAAAATGGTAAAGCTCATAGCACTAGCTCCAAAGACAAGTATATGAATTTGTGAGGCCACCTGTTCTTGATAGCTCTAGTCATCTCACAACGTTATTTAGGCAAGTCTCTCCATTATGCTAACAGGCATCAAGCATCATGGAGATATGGAAATGGTACTCCTATGAGAGAGGGAGAAAAAGGCCAGCCTAGCTTCATAACCTCGATACGTCTCCCAAATCGCTCGTCGGCAGATGGAACCAAGGAATGAATGGAAAACGGACCATAGCCAGATGAATAAGATTAGAATTTTGTGGCAGATGCTGTTTTGAGAAATTAAGGACCCTCCTTTTAAAATGGATTAATTCCTTCCCATTACAAAATGCTGATACCTTTCTTTTAAATTATTCATAAGGAAAAAATAAATAAATTGCTGAACCATGAGAGGCGTGTTGTACATCACTGTTCATTCATGCTGCTTTACATCACCAGCTATCCCTTTTCCCTGGTCCACATGCTGTCTGCCTCATCTATAAAGCCTTTCAGGGTAGGGCCTGAGTCTATATTGATTGCTTTCAAACCTAGCACATAGTGTGCACTATTTCTTGGAGTTTTTGTCTATGAAAACCAAAAATGTGCCACCCAACAAATCATAGTTTCATAGTTGGTAGGGTTGGAAGGGACCTGAGTAGATCATCAAGCCGTGGGCAGGAAAGAATACTGGGGTCAAACGACCCCGGCTAGGTGATTATCCAGCCTCCTTTTCAAGACCCCCAGAGTAGGAGCAAGCATCACTTCCCTTGGAAGTTAGTTCCAGGTCCTAGCCGCCCTGACAGTGAAGTAGCGCCTCCTGATGTCTAGTCTGAATCTACTCTCAGTCAAATTATGGCCGTTATTCCTTGTTACTCCCGGTAGTGCTTGGGGGATCAGGAACTCTCCCATAGACTGCCCCCTTGGCCAGTCTGTAGATGGCCACCAGATCCTCTCTCAGCCTTCTCTTGTGGAGGCTGAACAGGTTCAGGTCCCATAGCCTCTGCTTGTAGGACGTGCCTTGCTGCCCCCTGACCATGCGGGTGGCCCTCCTCTGGACCCTCTTGATGCTGTTCACATCCCTCCTGAAGCGCGGTGCCCAGAACTGGATGCAGTACTCCAACTGCGGCCTGACCAGTGTCGCACAGAGGGGGAGGATCACCTCTTTGGACCTGCTCATGATGCATCTGTGGATGCATGACAAGGTGCGGTTAGCTTTCCTGACTGCATCCCCACATTGGCGGCCCATGTTCATTTTGGAATCAATAATGACTCCAAGATCCTTTTCT